GCTGATCTCCAATTTAGATAGTTAACAATATCATGCAATTTTTGTGTGTCATAAAGACGTATATGCTGTTCATACATGATTCTCTACTGAATAGTGCTGGATGTGTCCTAAGAGACCTCTGTTTGTTGCTTGCTTGTTTGCATATATAAGTAATGCTGATAAGACAAGCCAATCCCAGCTGTAAATTTTCCATACTTCTAGTTTCCTATTTAAGGAGGACATGGGATAAAACACTAAATAAATAATATTAACTGTGCAAACTATTAAATTAAAAAGTAGAGTATTGGTCCAAATATTTCCTGATTAAAGCAGAGCCGTACTGTGCAAACCAGCTCTTTATTTGGTCTCCTCTGAACCCGAACAGATATGTACGTATGATTAGTAGGATTTGGGACCAGTATTCTTAATTCATACTTTCTTCATACTTTAGCCTTTGAGCCTCCACAGGTCATTTCTGTCCTCTAATTCCTTGCCTAAGGCTCATTCCAATTTCAATTAAGAGTTAAAAACCATATCCATCACATCTCTACATTGTGTTCTCATCATTTCCTTCTTTGTCATAGAGTCACAGAATCACACAATGGTTAGGGTTGGAAGGGACCTTGAAGCTCATCCAGTTCCAACCACCTGCCACGGGCAGGGACACCTCCCACTAAATCAGGTTGCTCAAAACCTCATCCAGCCTGGCCTTGATCCTATGTAGTCATTCGTGTTGTGAACAAAGGGGTGTATCTTTTGACTGGCTACTTAATGCCTGAATAATCTCTGAAAAATAATACACATTTCCTAATATTAGCACCAATGGCTCTCTCTGACTTTACTAGAGCTCTTAGCTTGATGTGCTTCTGATTAATGAGGCAGTATTTTTCAATCATGAAGCACTTTAAAAATACTTTTTAAGACCTAACAAGTGGAATACCTTGGATACCACAATTCTTACAATTTAATTTATTCAGCTTTTGATGATTTTTGGATTCTCCTCCACATTCTACCTTTGAATCTAAACCTTGTTGCCTTCAAAGCTTGTGTTGATGTTTTTGTACTGAAAAAAGTAATATCGATAAATAAACACAAGGCATGAATACTATAGAAAGAGGGTTTAAATGAATAAAATGAATGCTAGTGCAAAATAATTTTATTTTATTTTTTTTAATTATTCAACCATACTATACTTTTGATGAGCACTTTGTGTGGAACAATAACAGAAGGTGGGATGTTATTGAGCTGTACACCTCGGGACAGGTATACCTTTTACAGGTAAACTTTATGCAGTTTCTTGTACATAGAACATAAATCTTGATTGGAGGTGGTGTCTGTAACAGCATTGCAAAAATGGCAGTTGAATATTCCTGATAATTTGTGGTGTGCTGTGAAGGTCGGCCATTAGCTGTTGGAGAGGTCGAGCAGTACACGGTGTGGGTACCAATTTATTTTGGGATTTCTGCCTGGTTAAATGGCCGTCAAGCATGACAGCCGCATTTATACCAAGAGTTAACATGAGAGGACTTGCCAGGACTCTGACTATCCTGACCTAATCTTCAATATAGTCACACAGTTTCATTTTCAGCAGGCACCAGACTAATGTGTCACACAGACGGATTGCTTCTTGTTTTTCATATTAATGGCTCTGTTCCCACTCGATGCTGGTTTTGTTGGTATCAATGCACTTTGGGTCCATCCTATTAACCGGATAGTCCTGGAATGAAGGCATTAGTTTAAAGTTTGTCAAGTATTACTGTGGAGTTACAAGGATTAGGCAAATGTTCAATCATTGCATTTCCAGAGTCCAAGTTATAATTAAGAGGAAGAAAATGTACATCCAATTAATATCGGTTCAACCAAAGAGACTTTACTAAGACTTTATTTTAGCATACAGCACTTTTGCTCTGTAATTTGTTGACATTTAAAGTTATCTTAAAAGTATACAAGTCCCTTCTTTATGAATATGCTGATTGTCTATTATAAATCTGTCTTGTTCCAGGTCAAATTAAGACAATTTGTTATGTATCAGAAATTCTGTATAGATTCTCATTTCTTGTGGGTATACTTTTTTCCCTCTTTAGAAGGACATGCACTTTGTCAGCAAGGAAATACTTTCTGGAGATAATTTAATTTGGAGAAAAAAATGCTCTTTCTTCTCTTTTTTTTTTCTACTCCAACAAATAGAGTGCCAGTGATTTTGCTTTGTGAAGCATGGTACAATGTTATGCTCTCAGCTGTGGACTCAATTTCATTTTATCCCATCTACAAAGCTACTGCTGCTTTGGAGTTACTTCTCAGAGCCCTCTGCCCCATACATCCACTCATTATTTTGTTGTTGGAGTTAAATTTGAGTTTGGTGGTTCAGAGTTTTAAAATCAGAAGCAAACTATGAGCAGAAAGAACCTGCCTCTCCAAAGAGATCTTGAGCATGAAAATTCTGAAATTCAAATTGCCTCTTATTACTGTGAATTATCTGAATTATTGCTGAATGTATAACTCACACATCAGCTGTTGTGTCTGCTGATGGGTAGCTCCCAGTGTTTTGTAAGTTATATTTACTGTATTTGAGTAGCTGCAGGTGAGGTAGGAAAAAAACACAAACCTGACCATTAAATAATTACTTAAAATATGTTGAATGCTTGCCATATTAGTGTGTTCATATCCCAGTGCTAAATATATGCTTTAGCTAATGTCACAGGAATTGTAGGTGGTGAGCCATCCCTGTGTCTGTGCCAGGGTAACTTGGGCTGATCTTACCTCTATCGTCCTCCTCTTCTCAGTGAGATCCCATCTACCTGGAAGGTAGAGAGTTAAAAGAGAGGCAAGGGGAAAAATATAAGATATCCTTACTTCATAACACTAGAGAAGCAACATAGATAAAAATCGGTAGGAAAAAAAAAATAAATCACTTTCTGTTGTAATAAAGCAAATATTCATGAACATGCTGTCCTTTACAGCAAAAGTAATGACAAAAAGAATTAACTTCCTTGAACTATATGCAACTGCTTTTCATTCTGTGTTCTTTGTCACTTGAAATTTCCATGCTTTCCTTAGATTTTAAATACACTGTTTAATCTTGCATCTGTTTCTCAGTGTTTAATTAGTGAAAGTCGCATGGTTCTCCTGTAATAATTCACCACAGAATTAACATTAGCATTGTTGTTTAATTAGAACTTAATATCTAATTATACAACAACAAATGAAATCTGAATAGCCTAAGATTTTCTAAGGTTCCTGAGCCTTATCTGAAAACAAATATTATTGTTCATAAAGAATAACCTAGGAGAACCCCATTTGTATACATTATTGAGAATGATTAAATACCACAAGTAACTCTACTATATCTTAATGTAGAGCAGACATATATATATATTTATGATCTAAAACATTTTAAATGTCCATACTTATAAATCTATCCTCTAGATTTTAAGAGCCACAACAAAGATCTTGGTAGAATAATTTTTTGCATTGTCAGTGTCAATTAGCCAATACATATCAAATTCAGATAAATTGCTAAAAAAAACTTTTTAGTGCCTATCACATTCCTAGAAGAAGTAGAGAATTAAAATTTTGCTCAGAATAGAAAAAAAATAATTAAGGCAAACTGCAACTAGAAAAGAAAATTCTTTAAAGGATATCTAGTGGATTAGGGTGAAAATTGATCCTTTTCTGTATTTTTTCCTTTCACAGCTTAGTGATTAGGCACTTAGTTGAGGCACCCTGGTATATTGCATGTGTGCGCTCCTGGTACAGCCTCTGCCTGTGCCAGGGTGGGAAGCTGTTGGTTCAGGCTTCTTTTACAGCATCTAAAGTTCCTGCAAGTTGCAGGTTTTCTGCTATGATAGTGAGAAAGGGCTTCCGGGATTTTGTGAGTCCTGAAACATTAATAGCTCAGCACTTTGAGCCCACATCCAGAAAGATATTATTTATCTGCAAGTTATTCTTAGTTGTTTCACCCTATTATTATTATATTAAGCCCATTCATTATTGTGAGTTATCGCAGGCTATAGTTTCACCCCATGTTTAGAGTTTTTTCATTTGTGTTTGCTAAAATGTAGTGCTTTAAGGCTATATAACACGTACTTGGAAACATGTCATTTACTGTGCTGATCAATATGGCATTTGAAAGAAAATATCAGTCTTGATTACAAAATTGTCTCTGTTCAAGCTTATGCATATTGTGAAGAATTGAGACGCAGAAAGAAGTGGCTTATCAGTTTTTGTGGTTTTAGATCTAACCGTATTTTTAGACGTGGCATTAAACTTTGAAGTTTGGATATATCACAAGCCACAGCCCATTCAATTTGCAGTAATAATCCTCCTTGATTAAGACTTATACTTAGATTATACCAGAGATCAGAAATCTTGTCTCAGTGGAGTGACATTTATAGCATTTTCTTTAAACAAGTAGGAATTATCCCCATTCAAATGAAAATGAACCTGATGTGTGCATCCTACTATTTCTTTAAATACTTATACCTTATCTGTAGTCTTGTCTGTATGAAATAATATTTTAGGCCTTTGTTTCAAATTATAGGATGCGAAGGAACATTATAATTTGATCTACCAAATGTGAGGCTGCTGCTTTCTTCATAATGTCAAACTGCTATTGTATGTTTGCTAATTATAGTTGGTAAAACCTTTTTTCTTTTTTTTCCAATTTCTGAAGATTAAGATTACAAATATTTCTATAATAGGAATGCACCTAAAAGAAAAACTTTTTTTTTTGCTTATTAGCATAAAAGCTTACAAGAGATGTGGACGTTTCATAGTAGAAAAAATGGAAGAGTCATTCTAATTGTTGTTTAAGACTTTTTAAAACTTCCTTTGAAATATATATATTTTTTCTTTTCTGGCTCTAAAGGGTTAGAACCTGGAGGAAAAAAATAATTATAATATATACATATATATTTATATAAATATATAATGAGAAATATAAATAATAAATATATATATATGAGAAATAAAGATAAGTAGATTTAATAACATTCACTCAGATGGATTTCTTTATTTTACAGAAGAAATCCAGAGGAATAAAAGTGAGGACAGTCAGGAGTATCCAGGACAGAGGAAGTTGCTGACTGCTTCTTCAGGCATTTTGAGAAATAGGTCCTATTTTTTCTCACCACTTCTGTACTACCGAACAATGGAAAAAAATCAAAGCAAAAGGCTGCTGGATCACTGCTAGCTAAGTTGTTAGCTTGAATGGTTGGTAGAAAAGTTACACTGATGTATTTTTATTGTGTGAGCTTTTGGCTGTGATTGTAGCAAACAATACGAAGCAAAGGGGTAAATAACCGGAGCACTGGAGTATCCACATCTGCCAGCAACATAATCACATTGAATCTAATAAACTGATGTGTTGCTGCCTGGGAAAACAGTCAGTCAGAAGCTGGATGCCAGGGAGAGTGCCATGAAGTAGGGCTGCTTGGAATCAAACCAAGTGTCATTTCCTTTCCCTTCACCATGACTCTGCCCTAGTGAGAGGAAGGTAAAGTTATGAGGGAAAGGGAGAGAACTAGTCTTTGTGAAAAGAAAAAATAAACTGAAACAGAGCAGCGTGCCTTACCTTGGTTATCAGAGTTGCTTTGCATTAAAACATAGTTTCAGCAGGCAGAATTGTTGTGTTTCAATTGTTCTGATTCTTCTGGAGTCATTATTTAATAGCATTTCAACCTCACTGCAGCACACCAATAAAGCTTGCATGGGATGGGGACATTTCTGGAAGTGCCGCTGTCAAAAGGTAGCTCTGTGAAAATATATCTGCTAGCAGATGTGGATATAGTATTTTATTTGAAGATAACGTCAGTAAAACAAACATGGGTCAAAAATAAATCAGCCAGGCAATTCCAAACAGGCACACATACTGAAAAGCCAAACACTGATTGTTTAATATAAATCTCTTCTCAAATAGGAAGTTATTCATTTTCTAAATCCTTATTGTTCTGATCTAAAATTCATTTATCAACATTCACAAGACATTGAATGCGTTCCTAAGAGTTCTCAACCTGACTAAACTTACACATTAGCATTTAAAATCTTCTTTAAATGAGAAAGTATTACATAGTTACAAATTTTGTATTATTTGTAATAAAGCACCATAAAATCTATAAAGTTCTTAGAACATTTAAAATGTACAGAAAAGTTAGTGCAAGTCATTAGATTGTGTCAAATGCAGGTATGTTTTCATAAAGCTCAAACGAAGAGTAGAAGACATTCCAGGTATATATTCTTAGTCTTAATGAGCTTTCTTCATATATATAATTGGTCACTTAATAATAATTTTACATTTATTCAATAGTAGTAGGCAGTATTCTGACTTCAGAAGCATTGATTTTTTTCTTCTCTCACATACCCCAGTGTGACACTAAATAATAATAATGTCAAACCATTGCTTTTCTAAACAGTCATTATCTGTTTCTAATTGTCTGATGAGAGAAATATATTCATCTCCCACAGCTCGCACTCTTTTTCTGATAAATAGATCTTTTGTGTAGTAGCAATCTTACATTGACCTATAACAAAAGTTTAAAGCTCTTGATATATACAAAGTTGTTCAAACACCTTATTTTCCAAGTTACATGTTTTATTGAGTGGCAGAAACTTCGGAATTCAAATAATTACATTTCTTAATGTGGGTGGACTTAAGCTTAAATACACATTAAAAAAAAAAAAATAAGCATTTATTTTTCAAGCTATATTATTCAACATTTATGCATTTGTCTGTGCAGCATTAGCAGAAGACTACGGCAGCTTTCCAGCAAGCAGCAAGTAGTTTTATACCTTCAAATAGGCTATGGCAGAAGGTTAGGGGCAGATTCTGAAGGGTCAAGCTTCTGTTTTAGTACAAGCCTCCTCACCACGAGGCTGTACTGAGCAATGTTAGACCCTGCAGCACTGTATTGTCCATACACTGTGTTTCTCAATGCTTGCGTTTGAAAATGAGTCAATGCTACAAAAATTAAATGGCTAGTAGGATACATCCCTGGTATTTATCTTCATAGACTTTTTTTATATACGGTTGTCCAGGTTTTAATAATGCTTAGTGAGTCTAATAACAAACAGGATGCAAATGGTAATTTCAATTAATTGTTCTCTAGTAAAAACCCACAAACACATTGCTCCCATCAAAGTTATAACCCAATTAAAAATAGGATAAAACTCATCCCTTTGTCTTAATAGGCATGCTAAATTAGCTATTTCCTCCAAAGAAAACAACATGTTTAGAAACAAACCCCACAATGTTTAGGAATAGGAAGAGAGTTATTTCTTGTCCCCTGCTATTTGCAATCTGTGATTAAGCGGTGTGAAATGGGGCTAAGCTGTCCTGTTGGTGCCTTAGAGCACTTCTGTCTCCCCTGTGTGCTCCAAATACATCTGGAACAAAAGCAGGGCATGGCATTGCAAATCTTCATTTTCATTAGAAAATCTCTTATAGCAATGGAAACTGTAAATAATGCCTGTCATTTGTGTAATTTGTGTAAAAATACAAAGCTGTAACTCTTGTGGTCATGGATGGAAGAAAAAAACCTTTAATTATATGTATTTCTCACATTCTACAGAAAAAGTAATCGGAAGATCCCCACACATAAAGGTAATTTCTTGTTGTTTTGCTTGTTTGTTTGGCTGATTTTATTTATTTTTATTTTCCTGTGGGTGCATTTGTCTGGATGAACTTTCAAAATTTGAAATCCTGGTGGTTACAGGTTGGACTGAAAAAAATAGAATGGGCGTCATTTCCATGGTTTGAAAAAATTTAATCCACTTGACAGTCCAGTGTGTAATCCTAGAATTAATATAGTGGAATTTGTTATGGTATAGCACTGAAATACTGGAGCATTGTCTTACCATTTCCATTTACAAAAGACATAAACGTTCTAACAAAAAATGAAAATCTTATATGAGTAGTAGCAACATGTCCATGTAGAAAAACATATTTCAATTAGTAAATTTTTATAAAATATTTGTTTTACTATTAATAATTATTATTATTTCCCCATCCGTTCAGCTACTCTTTTCCAGTATGTGGAGATGATGATGCAGGTCACATAAGTTTATACCTTTTGCTTACCTGTACCAGTTTTCTAAGTCACTGATCTTTTTCAATGATTTATATTCAGAATACTTTAATCACTCGTACCTCTACACCCATGTCACATATTATAGCTTATTTTTATTTTTTTCAGTGGAATATAAACATTTTACATTTAAAATTATTGTTATGACTATCTGTAGGTAAATTCAGTAATTATTAGTGTTTCTGTAAATAATTTGGCTCTGTGATTCCTCAACATATAGCAGATGTACACAATAATTAGAGTTGTGCTATCACAGGTACAGTCCAATAATAGGAAAGTACTTGCTTTCTATTAGGCAACTGTACCATTAATTAAACTCCATTTAATTGTGAAGTATTCTATTCAGATCTTGTTGCAGAATCTCTTAATGTATACATGACTTGAATTACTCACCCAAACAACTACTTATTGTTTATTAATAATTTACAGACAACATGTTCCTGTAATTTCCCCAACAGCACTCTTAGCTGGTAGGCTCTACTGATTTCACGGTATTTTCTTCTCAAAGAGGCTGCTGCTCCACTAGTGTAATTGGCAGAGCCCCATTGACTTCAATGGAGCCTCAGCAATTCTCACCAGCACTTATTTGCATCATTAAAGGCATTTAAAAATCTGGTCTTGTAAAGAACAGATGATGTGATATTAAGAAAAAGTCAAGCTCACTGTTACATGAAAAAGTCACCAGTGAAAGGAAAACTCCACTTTTCCTGGCTTTTCCCCTCTTTTCTGCCACGTGAGGGGCTGGAGGCTTGTAGGAAGGAACTAAAAGTGTCCACATGCCATTGGTATCTGTTGGGAATGTCCTGTCCTCCTGATGGCTTCTTTGACTCCTGCCACCGAAGGTGACTGAGAGCTGGGAGGACCCTGCTTGCCCAGCAGAAAGCTTGCTCCAAACAGTACATGAGTTCGTTATTGCACTATCAACATACTATAATCTGAAATACTGATTAATCTATTTTTTTGCCATTATTAAGAACAAGTTTGTTCACTAAACTGGGAAAGTGACAAACAAAACAGTTTTCCTAAAAGTTGTAAAGTTGTTTCTTTTTTTTTTTTCTTTCAATGCTTCACTAATAAGGCTTGAAGATCATTGAGTTTTTGAATGTAGTTATCTTATTTAAAGAGACATAGCAAGTGACTAATTTAAGCTGTAGAGGATTGAATAGTAGCATTTTATCTTTAATTATTTTGTAATGTGCTAAAAAGTCATCCACAGAATAATGCCAAGTAGAGCATAAAGTTTTTATGAGTGCTCAATCATGCATGGGGAGAAAAAAACTTTTTCCTAAAGCTAAGCACTTACACACTGTTATGTTCAGTTATTTTACTAATCACCATAGTTCTCAAACAAATTGACCATTCAGTTTTCCCATTGAAAACATATTGATATACGTAACTAACTTATATGCAATACATTCACCACTCTAAGGTCATTCTTTATGTCTGAGCTACACATGAATTTACATGAAATGGGCAAGTTTGTGGTGACATAGCTGTAAAAGAAGAATGATGGTTGCTAATAAAATGTGAGAATCCAAAATCCATATATTTTGGCACAAAGATGTTTTCTGAAGCGGAATTCATTTGCAGAGCAAGTTACTGCAGGAATCATAGTTCATTATCATGATGTAGTAATGAGACAGCATGCCACAAAGATGGAAATACTGTGAATAAATATCAAATATGCTATGAAGGTGTGACAGCAGGTACGATCAGATACATAATGTTGAGATTCAGAAGTGCTCCCCAAAGAGCAAAAGATTTTGATTCCTTAAGAAGACATGTAGTAGGTAAATTGTCTTGCATGGGCACCATGCTTGTCAGATTTATATGCTGTTCAGCTCACTGTCCAAAAGGCTAGCATAATTTTTTACCCATGTAATTCACACAGAGTGCGGGAAGCTATAAGAGGTAAAAATCTTGAAGAGAAGTTAACACTGTTTTATTTCAGAATTGATGCACAGGTCTGCCAAACAGTACAGATGCTTAATACACTCATTTTGTGAAGGAGATTTCAATCTTCACAAGTGCACATCTTTTCACTTTCCATCACTGGTTCTGCTGTGCGTGGAAGAGAAACATTCAGCAAGGCTGATCAGAGGGGTTTGCTTAGTGTCCATCTCCAGTCCC